TGTGTGTTCTCATCCACGGATCCATCTCCCCAGCTCCTGTTTGTTTGTGTGTTTCTTTATTTATTTTTAATGATGTATATGCAAGGGTTTCTGTGAGTGTAGGGGTGTGCATGTTATCCAAGTGTTTCTATGAGTGGTAGGGGTACACATGTATTTGTGGGTGCTGTGGAAACTGGAAGAAAGCACCGATTCTGACTACAGGTGGTTGTGAGATGGATGATATAGACACTGAGAACCAAATTCAAGTCCTCTGGAAGAGTCACTCTGAACCCCTGTGCCACCTCTGAAGCCACATTCTAGTATTAATAAATACTCAAGTGCATGAGGCAAACTTCCCAGTCTTTTCCAGACCTTTGTCTTACAAAGCTGTTTTCTGGGTGCTGAAGGACCACAGCTTCTCCCAAAAGACAGAACCTAGAACCCGTCCAAGGCAATGGGCAAAGCAGGCCCAGCTGTCTGCAGTCACCGCAGCTCCTACACTGTCCCCCCCTCTTATCCCAGAGTCTTAAAGTCTTCCTCCTCCAGGCCCTCATGTGTTCTTTCCTTCCCTACTAGAGCAGAATAGCTCTAATGGACAAACTACCAAGGCTAGCCCTCACCTCTTACTTCATGTTGGATTTGTTGCTAATGGGTGAGTCAGATCACACTGTTTTTCTGCCCGGAAAAGTCCAGTGGTTTCCCATCATACATGGAATTTTCCAGAACAGGAGGATGTGTGTTAGGGAGTGCCTTTGTGATCACTGCCATTGGAGGAAAATGGAGTGTAACTTTTTTTTTCAAACTTTATTTCTAATGATGGTTCTTAAATGCTTTAACCTCACTTATTCCCACCTCTCAGGTAGTAGAAAAGAAAAAATACAGGGAAGTGGACCTGTTTAAAGAGGTTCTTTGGAGCAACTCCTGCCTGTGTTGTCAGTTCACAGGTCAGCAGCGGCAGCTCGATCCACTCACAAACACGTCACAGGTACACCAGCAGTCCAGTTCAATAGAGTCAGGATAACAAACATAAATCAGCACTGGTGGCACTGCCTACAGAGACAGCCAGGCCTCAGCCTCAGCACAGGTGAGCAGGAGGGACCTGGAGGGATGCCAGGAGAAGTTCTCAGTTTTGCCTCTCGCAGTGAAGCGAAGATCAGCGGAGACGGGAGACCAAGCTCAGCCTCCGCCATTGTCTGTCAAGTCCTACGTATACCCTCCAAACATCACGCGTCCTCCATGGGTCTGGCCTCAGCACGTGCATCTGTCTCAGCTGACATGACTCTGCCAATCAGACTGAGTCCCTAGAAATAGGAAGAAACTATAGCACACCACCAGAAGGTTTTTGGTGCATTTCTTTCTATAGAGACCCAACAAATACAGCTCAACTACGCAGTGTAAGGCTGACCAATGCGTGTGTGTTGTTAGCAAAGATTTCTTCATCACGTGTCCTTTCACGTGCTTGCTTTAGCAGAGCATCCTCTCCCCTGTGTCTGCTTCAGCTAAATATTCTTCCGTGAATCTGCCTTAGCCTTTCACACCTGTGTCCACTTCGGGAAAGCATTCCTTCACATGTTTGTCCCTGCAAAACACCTTCCAAACGACTTTACAAAGAACCCTTAGGTTTTCACTTCAGTGGAGGGAAGGTGAAGTTGAACTACGGTGTAGCTCCAAGCAACAGCACAGCCATCTCCAGAAGTACGCTGGACCACATCCTTCAGGGAAATCCCCCACTTAGAAGTCTTTTCCAGCCACATCCACCCCGTACCGTCACAGACACGAAGGTCCCCTCTGACCCCCTCCTCATTTCTGTTAAAGTCATGTCACACCAGCAGACGAGACAATGTGGCCATTGTCTTATCCAGTCTGATTTCCCATCTTTGCGTCAATTAAATATTTCCATGTTCCCATCTACCAGCTTGATGAACAATATTAGTTCAATGTATTAAGGGAATGTAATTAAATATTTGTTCTGGAGTAATTGTATATAAATTGCATGACAATTGAGTTGGTGGCGTAATTAGTGAATCTTAATTGGAGGCTCTTTTACAATCAATGCTTAATTTACTAACAACTGTTTTGGCTTAAATGTGAATTAAATGCCTGTCATTGGCCACCCACGTCCATGGCTTTCAGGACCAGCCCTCTCCCTGAATGGGCTGCCTTGGAAACTTCTCTGCTGTCTGTCATTGTGGGATCTCCAGTGAGTGCTAAACCCCCTGGGGAACTTAAATCTTGCAAAATAGGAGTGTTAGGCAGAATGATGGTGACTAGTGTCTATCGAGCATCTACTGGGGTCAGGATACTGTACCTGGGCAATTCATTTAAACTTAATCCTACAACCAGACGGCTGCTTCATCATCTTCATTTTATAATTAAATGAAGCCTAAATGAAAACTAAAGCCCCAAGGGACGGGGACTCAGTTTCATAGTCCATTGGGTCAACCAGTAAGGCCTTTCTACTCTCACTCTCTCATTGCAATTTCCAGCCCCAATTCCTTAGCTATTCAAATCCTTCCATGAGTTTTTCTATTTGGTCCAAAACCCTCTTTAGAGTTGGCTTCCTGCCTTTGACCTTTTCTGATTTGTCTCACTTCAGGACACAGGTATATCAGTCAGTATGGGTTCTACTATACTGCTATAACAAACAATCCTGACATGTAGATGGTTTCCATCTGAGGTTTGTTTCCCCATAATGTTCTATGTCCAGAGGGAAGTTATAGCAGTTGTAAATAGATATTATGTCCTGTTTTCTGGACCTTCCAACTATGTACTTGAGCCTCTGCTCTAGGCTGTCTTCATTGGATGAGCAATTGGCAGAGGAAGCCTGCTGTATCAGATTCAGTGTCTCAACAAGGAGAGCTGGCTCTGAAAACTTTTGCCTGGAAGCAGTGGAGTTTCTCTGGCTCACATTTGGTGACCGAAAGCAAGTATTGCAGTAAAGAGCCACAGTATTAGGAAGCTTGAGAACCACTGGCTTAGAGAGAAGCATCTGTCTGGTCCACAGATGTCTGTTGATCTCAGGACAAAACAAGTCTTCCCAACGTAACAGCAGTATCACTTTCACCTGGACCTACATATGCACCTGGATCTGAACCTGGACCTGCACCTGGACCTGGACTTGAACCTGCACCGGCACCTGCACCTGGACCTCCACCTCCACCTGCACCTGCAACCTGCACCTGCACCTGCACCTGCACCTGGACCTCCACCTGCACCTGCACCTGCACCTGGACCTCCACCTGCACCTTACCTGCACCTGGACCTCCACCTACACTTGCACCTGCACCTACACCTGCTCCTGTACCTGCACCTGCACCTGCTCCTGCATCTGCTCACCAAGATGAGTGTGAGAAAGAGCATACAGAAAGTGGACAAAGGGCATCTGAGATTCAGGCCACTTGTTGGTAGCTTTTCCCCAACTTTCACTCTAACCAGGACAATAATTCTTACTAGTGTCTCCCTCATGTATTCACTATTTCAATTCCCTCCTACAAACCACCCTTTCCCCTACTTCCTTTTTGAAATCTTCTTCATAACTGTTCTTCAATCACTTCCATCTTTCCTTCCTATCTCCCTATCTTATCTCTCCTTATTAAGAATACTCTGAAAGGCACACAGTAGGTACTCAATCGTTGTTCCTTAAATCAGTGAGTCTAAACAAGAGACTGAACTTTCCTCACAAAGCTCAAGTTCTGCAGATGTGGTTCTATGAAGTTTCCACTTCCAGACTGTTCTGGGTCCTGATAGGGTAGAGACACGAACTCAAATGGCAATAGTTGTGCGAGTGATTTTCTACCTAATTGACAAACTAAATGTAGATAAATCACCAGGAGCAGATGGCATTCACCAGAGGGAAGTAGAGGAACTCAAGGGTGAAATTGGGGGATTGTTGGCCAAATACGTAAGTGTTCATTACAAAGGGATGTGATGGCCCAGCAAACTAGAGAGGCAGGCTATACCTCCCATGGGGCCTTAGGGGCACCACTGACCAGAACGACTGGCTCAGAAGCTGGGCCAGCTGACCAAGTTTAGAATAAAGAGGACTGCCCCACACAAAAACACTATTTGGAAAGGAAAACTTCATGGTCGCATAGGGAAAACATTCCTGCTTCAATGATCTAGAGTTCTCTAAGTGGGAATATGTAGACAGAGGCAAAGAAGAGCCAGGGGCAGACATGAGTCTAAACTCTCAGATTTATCTACCAAAAGAAGTGCATCTACACACACACACACACACACACACACACACACACAGAGAGAGAGAGAGAGAGAGACAGACAGACAGACAGACAGACAGACACACATCCAGAAACCAAATCAAATCATCCTAGACTGGCTGTCTTTGAAGAAACTCTTATTTAAGATAGGCAAGAACATATAGCTAATAGTAATTTATAACCACAAAGATTGCTTTGACTTCTCAAGGACACTTCAAGAAGATTACTTTTGTGCTAGATAGCCATGCAGTCAGACTGCTCTCAATGTGTGTTTCACCTTTGCTCACAGAAAGTGTATTTTAGTGTGTGTGTGTGTGTGTGTATGTGTGTGTGTATGTGTGTGTGTATGTGTGTATGTGTGTATGTGTGTGTGTATGTGTGTATGTGTGTGTGTATATGTGTGTGTATGTATGTGTGTGTGTATGTGTGTATGTGTGTGTGCATGTGTGTGTGTATGTGTGTGTATGTGTGTGTATGTGTGTGTGTACGTATGTGTGTGTGTGTGTGTGTGTGTGTGTGTGTGTGTTTAGCTCCTCCAGAGCTAGAGTTACAGGCAGTCATGAGCTAACTGATACAGATTCTAGGAATCAAAGCCTGATCCTCTGTGAGAACAGCTACTACAGTCCCATTTCCTCAGCTCCCTAGAGCTTTTATTCAGAGGGTAAAAATTAATGTAGAAATTCCTAACTGGTGAGCATGCCAAAAAGTATCCAGCGAGTGTTCTAACCTAAACAAGGCACCCATAAACCCATTACAAAACCCTTTCAAACATCACAGGAGTGGCAACAGACAGATTGTGAGAGCCTACTTACTTGGCAGGGAAGATACCATAATCATGAAGGTGGCTCTCCTAGGGTAAGACTTATACATTGCCCACCAGATGTGCTGACCCCTGCAATTTCTGCACACTCTGCAAAATTGCATTCATAATTTGAGATAGTGGAGAGCTGTTTTCATGCTCTCCCCTACTCCAAAGAAAAGCCTATAAACACCAGAGGGAGGCCCGTGAAACACCGTGTATGGTATGGTACCTGTGATCACAAACACACAGCATCTGTGGCAAGTTGTATAAGATGTACATGTACAGAGTCTTCACTCACCTCAGAGCTACAAAATAACGCAAAATACATACATCTTAAAAAAATATTTTTAGGCTTTATTTCAACCTCCAACTCCAGCAGGCATCCCTTGCCAACCCAAAAGCCACTCGTGCCAGAGAAGCAGGTAGACTGCCTACAGATCTTTACCTCATCTGCTCCTCCACATTCAACCCCCTACTCTCATCCCCAGCTCTGTAACTGAAAACCTGGTACAGTCTCTCTTTCTTCTCTGACCCCAGAGACCTCTTCCAACCTTCCTTCCCCCAAATCATGCCAGTAACCCAGCCTCTAAAACCAGCAGGCATTCCCTGGGAACACACCAGCTGAGCAGTCCAGGGAAACAGAGCCACAGAAAACTTCGTATCAGGCGACGCACAGCCATCACACTCTTGGGGAATCCAGAAACAGAAACCAAGGAAGAAAATATCCACCCAACAAAACCAAAGCCAGATACCAGCACCTAGACCTATAATCATACAAATCCCAGATGCCTAGACACTAGAGTAAAAACACAATAACAACCAGGTTGACATGTCTCTTCTAGAGCCCAGAAACCCAACCACAGCAAGCCCTGAATATTTCAACAGAGCTGAAGCACAAGAAAAGACCTTAAAATAGCCTGTATAAAGATGATAGAGGTTTTTGAAGAGGATATGAATGAATCCCGTACAGACATTCAGGAAAATACAAGCAGACAGTAAGAGGAAATGAATAAATCCCTTGAAGAAATGCAGGAAAACACAGACAGTGAAAGGAAATGAATATACCTGTTCAAGACCTGAAAATGAAAACAGAATCAATAAACCAAACCCAAATTGAGGGAATTCTGGAAGAAAAAAAATAGAAATTCAAATAGGAACTAGGGAGAGGCAAGCTTTACCAATAGAAGAGATGAAAGAGCAAATCTCAGGTATTGAAGATAAGGCAGAAGAAATGGATATACTGGTCTAAGAATGTGTTGGAGCCAAAAAAAAAAAAAAAAACCAAACCAAACCAAACCAAACCAAACCAAACCAAACCAAAAAACCTCCTGGTACAAAACACTCAGGAAATCTGGGACACTATGGAAAGACCAAAGCTAAGAATAATAGAAGTAGAGAAAGGAGGAAAAAAACAGTTCAAAATTCCAGATAATATTTTCAACAAAATCATAGAAGAAAATTTTCTAACTTAAAGAAGGAGATGCATATAAATGTAGAAGAAACAAAACCCCAGGCAGAATGAGCAAGAAAAGAAAGTCCCTTCACTACAGAACAAATGTGCAGAACAACAACCAAAAAAGAATGTTAAAAGCCACAAGGGGAAAAGGCCAAGTAACATATAAAGATAACCTTCCTGAATCACACTTGACTTCTCAGTAAAAACTCTAAAAGCCAGAAGAAGCTGGATAGATTAGCTGCAGACTCTAAGAGACCAGAGATGTAAGCCCAGACTACTATATTCAGCAAAATGTTCACTCATCATAGATAGAGAAAATAATATGTTCCAAATTAAAATAAATTAGATAAAGCCAAATTTAGGAAATGTTTATCTACAGATCCAGCCCTACCAAAGGTGGTAGAAGGAAAACTCCTACCTAAAAATGTTAACTTCAACTATGAAAAGACAGGGAATACATAAGCTCAAACAAGAAAATTCAAAAGAAGGGAAACACACACACACAGACACACACACAGACACACTATCACCACCACCAACAACAACAAATTAACAGGAATCATCAATAATTGGTCATTGATATCTCTCAATATCAATGGTCTCAGTTCCCCAATGAAAAGAAACAGACTAACAGAACAGATATGAAGACAGGAGCCATTCTTCTGCAGCATTCAAAAAACACACCTCAACATCAAAGATAGACATCATCTCAGGGTAAAGGACTGGAAAAAGATATTTCAAGCAAATGGATCTAAGAGACAAGCTGGTGTGGCTGTTTTTAACATCAACAAAATAGACTTAAAACCAAAACTAATCAGAAGAGATAGGAAAAGATACTACATACTCAAACAAAAAAATCCACTAAGAAGACATTTTAATTTGTAATATCTATGCCCCAAACACAAGAGCATCTAAGTTTGTAAAACAAATAATACTATACTTTAAATCACACTGACCTTCACACACTGGCAGTGGGAGAATTTAATACCCCATTCTCACCAATAGACAAGTCATCTAGACATTGCCTAAGTACAGAAAAGCTGGAGCTAACATGAGTTATAAACCAAATGGATTTAACATATATCTATAGAACATTCTACCCAAACACAAGAGAATATATCTTCTTATCTATACCCTGTAGAACTTTCTCCAAAAATGACCATACTCTCAGACACAAAGCAAGGGACAAAAAAATATAAGAAAATTGAAATGACCCCTGTGTCCTATCTAATCACCAGTGATTAAAGCTGAATATCATCAACAACAAAATCAACAGCTTACAGACTCATGGTTCTATAATGAAAATCAGTAAATTAAAAAAAAAAAAACTGAAGGAAAAAACCCACAGGATCCATTTTATTAGATGCAGAAAAAGCCTATGACAAAAATCCAACACCCTTTCATGATAAAAGTCCTGGAGAGATTTGGAATACAAAGGATGTACCTAAACATAATACAGAGAGTTTACAGCAAATCCACTAAAATCAGGAACAAGCTGGGCGGTGGTGGCGCACATCTTTAATTCCAGCACTTGGGAGGCAGAGGCAGGTGGATTTCTGAGTTCGAGGCCAGCCTGGTCTACAGAGTGAGTTCCAGGACAGCCAGGACTACACAGAGAAACCCTGTCTCAAAAAACCAAAAAAAAAAAAAAAAAAATCAGGAACAAGACAAGGGTACCTACTCTCTATATACCTATTCAAAATAGTACTTGAAATCTTAGGTAGGGCAATAAGACAACTAAAAAAGATCAAGGAGATAAAAATTGGAAAGGAAGAAGTCCAAGTATCTTAATTTACAGATAATATAATAGCATATATATAAGTGACCCCAAAATTCAACCAGGGAACTTCTACAGTTGGTAAATACTTTCAGCAAAGTAGCTGGAATATAAAATTAACTAACAAAAATCAAATGAGAGGGAAACAACACCTTTTAAAATAGCATCAAATAATATTAAATATCGTACAAGCTTGATAAAATTTCAAGTCTTCGCATAAAAAAATTGAAGAAGATATCAGAAGCTGGAAAGATCTTCCATGCTCATGAATTGGTAGGATTAACATAATAAAAATAACCATCCTACCAAAATTAATCTATAGATAATTCAATTAATTAATTAATTAATTAAATGCAATCCTCATCAAAATTCCAACACAATTCTTCACAGATCTTGAAAAGACAATTCTCAGCTTCATACGAAAACACAAAAACTCTAGAATAGCTTATACAATCCTGAATAATAAGATAACAAGAACAATAATAGTAGTGGTAATAATAACAATAACAAAAATAATAATAATAATCTTCTGGAGGTCTCACTATTCCCGATTTCAAGTTGCAATACAGAGCTATTGCAATAAACATCACGGTATTGGCATGAAACAGACATGTTTACCAGTGGGATTGAATTGAAGATCAAGACACACCTATGGACACCTAATTTTTTTCTTTTAAACCAGAAATACTAACTGCAAAAAAAGCCAGCATCTTCAACAAATGGTCCTCGTCAAACTGGACAGCTGGATGTAGACAAAACCAAATAGACTCATGCTTATCGCCTTGCACAAAGTTCAACTCCAAATGAATCAAAGAACTCAACATAAAACCAAATACACTGAACTTGATAGAAAAGAAAGGAAAGAAAGAAAGAAAGAAAGAAAGAAAGAAAGAAAGAAAGAAAGAAAGAAAGAAAGGAAGGAAGGAAGGAAGGAAGGAAGGAAGGAAGGAAGGAAGGAAGGAAGGAAGGAACATGAAACAAAGAAACAAAGAAACAAAGAAACAAAGAAACAAAGAAACAAAAGCCTTGAACTCATCAGTACAGGAAAAGACTTTCTGAACAGAATGTTGTCAACACAGGCACTAAGATCAACAATTAAAAAACGGAACCTCATGAAACTGAAAAGCTTTTTGTAAGGCAAAGGATGCTGTCATTTGGACAATGCAGCAACTGACACAATGGGCAAAGATTTTCACAAAATCAACATCTGATAAAGACTAATATACAAAATATATAAAGAACTCAAACAACTAGATACCAAAAACCAAATAATCCAGTTTTAAAAGTGGGTTACAGATCTAAACAGAGAATATTCAATAGAGAAAGTTCAAATGGCTGAGAAACATTTAAAGAGACGTTTAACACTCACAGGCATCAGGGTAATGCAAATCAAAACTACTTCTGAGATTCCATCTTACCCCTGTCAGTATGGCTAATATCAATAACACTTGTGCCAGCTCACGCTGGCAAGGATGTAGATAGGGAAAACATTTCTCCCTTGCTGGTGAAAGTGCAAACTTGTACAGCCACTATGGAAATCAATACGGCGGTTCCTCAGAAAACTGGAAATAATTCTACCTCAAGACTCAGCTATACAACTCTTGGGCATATTCCCATAGGACACACAATCCTACCACAAGGACACTTTCCCACCATGGTCACTGCTGCTCTATTCATAACATCCAGACACAGGAAACAACCTTGATGTCCCTCAACAGAACAATGGATAAAGAAAACATAGTACATTTTTTTACAAAATGGAGTATTACTCCACAGTTGGATAATGACGTCATGAGAGTTGAGGACAAATGTATATAAGTAGAAAAAAAAAAATCATCCTGAGTGAGGTAACCCGGACTCAGAAAGATAAATATGGTATGTATTCACTCATGTGTGCATATGAGCCTTTAAATAAATTATTACAATCCAC